TCTCTCTCTCTCTCTCTCTCTCTCTCTCTCTCTCTCTCTCTCTCTCTCTCTCTCTCCCCCCCCCTTACTGAACATCAACTCTGAATACAACCGCTTACTACTCGCACTCTATACTAACATGCGGCTATGGCCGCCTGCCTGCCTCAGAACAGCGCTGCCCAGCAGGGTCTTTAACGCTCAGCCACTCATGATAGCGCACAAGCACCAGCAGCGCTTCCACTTTCTCACAAATGAGCAATCTGCCTGAAGTGTCGCTTGCCATTCCCCATATTGACTTCAACTGGGCTCGACTTGTCCCAGCCTCTGCTTCACTTGGCTTGACTTGGACCTGGTACCAGTTGCCCGCGGCCTGTTTGCTTTTGGATTCCAAGGCCCGGTACCTTCCAAAGTTTTCCTTGGTGAACTGCTGCTTTTGGACTGAGGGACGTGACTTTTGCATGTGGGGTATGACCTTTGCCTGTGTGATGTGACTTTTGAGTGGGTACCGGTTGGACTTGACCCCTGAAGTAACCCAACTTGACTTTTTCCTGTGTCCAGCCGACTTGGCCTCCTCTGACCTAGGAATTTTTGACCCTGATATCTGAATTTGGGGTCTGCAGCGTGAAATGCCTTCACTCGGGATGGAAACATATGGTCCTGCGAGAACTGCGGCCATTTTTTTTATATATACAAAGCTTGTTGACCGATCCTCTCATACCTCCATTTCAAACTAGATATGAGTTTCGCTGCTTTGGTTCTCCTTTGGGGTGATTTCAGTGCATTTCTGCTTTCTGGACAGCTTACGACTATCTGGCATTCAATGCGATTTCGCAATCTGGAATTCTGTCATTTCGCTATTGCTCAGTTTTCCTTGCAATTTGGCATCAGAGCTGGTTCGAGCTACTCTGATGGCTCAAGCGCATTGGCATATCGTTGCTGTGCCGCACTATTGCACGGCAGTGGTACTTGCTATGGCGCTGGTTATTTAATATTTAGGCGGCCCTGTGTCAAGAGGGCGTGCCGGGAAGGCTATGTGGTGACATAGGGCTACACGCTGGATGATGAGAGCTTGTTGAGGTGGCATTTAAGCAGAGGTGGAACTGCATTATACTGTGGGTTGTGCAGAGGCACTGACTGGTCATCATAAATGCAGGTCAGGTCACTGGTGAGAAATCTGTGGTTGGTGGCAGCATTATGAGGTATGTTGCTCCTTACCTTATCTACCCTGTTAATCACTTCTTACCCCGAGGAAACGAGTCCTGGTCTTGAGAGTCCTCTCATTGTGAGGTGTCGTGTGCGCTCAACCTTGATAGTCAACGAACTTCCTGGGAAGCATGCTGGTGGGAGACAGGCATTGCCTCTGAAGGGCCCTGGCCGAAGCACTTGGGTCACGGTCACCATGCCAACCCACTGGGAGTAGAGCACGCATGCTTTGATGCTTTGTCCTTCGGTCTGCTATGGTGTGCTATAGAGGTTGTGTTGGGCAGGCCAGCCCTATGGGGGTTAGACCAGTACCGCACCATCTATAAAGACACTCCGGCGGGGACAATCTACCCGCACTGTATGCGAGTATAAAAATAGTACGGACGGGGCTGGCAGGTTTGACATTGACTTGGGTCACAGGGGTGGGCCGTGTGCACACCTTTAGACACGCTGCTCAACCAGAGATTTCAGGACGTCGACACGAATTGACACTCGAGAAGGATTGATTCCCGGAAAGCATGCAGTCCAGCAAATAATTTTATTTCTATTTTTGATTAGTTAGTTGTTACAGACGCTGCTGACAACTGACAGACTCGCAGGTAGAATAGTAATTTATTCTTTGCTGCATTGCAATCTGTTTGAGACTAGACATAAATAGAAGTAGGATTGTATGTAGGGGTCTGAACTTATCTGCTGTACCACTTGACTACATTCTGACATATCTGGACCAAATAATTATTTTATTTTGATTTATTTTAAGAATCCGTTGGATGCCACGCTGCGATAGGTCCCAGTGAGGATTTTAGTGCAGATTGCATGCCACGCGTAGCTCATGAGTGAACATGACACAGCAGTTGAGAGACTAGACCAGGATGATAGGAGGACTACCCGTAGACAAGCACTTAGTCGACCGATCACTTACTTGGTGTTAGCGCCTGGTGAGGAGAGGAGACTGCGGAGAGAAGCCGAGGGGAGGAAAAACTTGCAGAGGGCACAGGAAGCAGCAGCCAACACGGAGAGAGCATTAGCAGCTGCAGCACACACACTAGGGCTGGCAGCAATGGCTAATGGCTACATCCTCTGCAATGTCTCAGGCCTCTTCTCAGGCCTCTTCTCAGGCCTCTTCATCAGTTGTTAGTCAGGGTATGTCCCAGCCTTTCACTAGTCAGTTTGCTGGCTCGCAGGTCAGCCAGCAGCAACCCTTGTCCGCAGAGGATTACGAGATCCAACAGACGGAGTTACAGCACCAGTTAAAGGAAGAGAGAATGCTAGAAGAAGAAAAACCAGACTAGAAGCACGGGGGTTGGAACTAAGTAGGGTAGAAGCTATGGATGTGGAAGCACTTGACCCCTGATGTACGGATGCTCCGGTTAAGCCTTTTGTGTGTAGCTGAAGTGCAGGCCATGCAACAGGAAATGCTGGCCACATTGATAGGTGGCCAGAACAAGATTATGGCTGCGCTGCAAGTGCCAATGCGTATGCAAGGCCAGCGCAACCTGTTGTAGCTCCTCCTAAAAGGTGAAAACCTTCCCAGCAGGAGAGGAAGTGGTATGGACGTTTCTTGAGGCTTACATGGTGGACATAACGGTTTGTAACAATTGGAGGGTGAGAGGGAGGTTAAAATAGTGGCAGCTTGTCACTTGCAAGCTGTGAATTTGATCGAAAAATGAAGTTAAAAAACACATAGCAGGAATGCAGTACTCAGAAAAGTGTTTGTATCGAATTGGATCTGCGAAGGGAGGTATTCACAGTCTGTTCTCTCTCTCTCTCTCCCTCTCTCTCTGACTCTCTGTACTATAAATCATTTATATAAATAGAAGTCATTGGTTCTAACTTCTAGGGCAGAGGGCAGACACAGTGAGGTATATGGCGAAAGTCAGGCGAGGTAGAAACGATGGCTTGGTTATCAAGGGTAGACACACTGGTTTTGGAAGTGGGAATATTGGGAGAGTTGAAAGGGTGTGAGGGCAAGTTGAGGAGACAGAATTTGTATTGCGAGTTTCTCGAAAATGCAGATGGATATCCAGAGCAGTTTAGTGTGTCCAAGTGGGAGATGAGGCGAAAACACATGTGCAAACCGAGATGTCAAACACAGCTCATAACAAAGGAAACGCATGAGATGGCGAGATGTCAAACACAACTCATACCAAAGGAAAAGCAGTGACGATGAGGCAAAAACACACAAGAGACGACCAGGTAAAACCGTCGGACCACCCATCCACTTCCCCAACTTTTTTTTTTTTTTTCAGCTCTCCAAGCTAGAGCGAGGGCAGACACCGCGTCATGACAAAGGAAAGCAGCCCAGCAGAAAACACGTCAGATCCACCCTGCCCCCAACCAGACTAAATGCAGCCCCATCGGAAGGACCTGAGCATGCATCGGGACAGATTGCATATCCAGATTCATTCGAAATTTTGGCGGATAAAGGCAGCGCAACGAAGATGCACTTGACCAGGAAGACGAACAGGTAAAACCGCCGGTCCACCCGTCAACTTCTGCAACTTTTCAGCTATGCAAGCTCAAGCAAGGGCAGACACCGCGCCATGACAAAGGAAAGCGGCCCAGCAGAAAATACGTCAGATGCACCCGGGCCCAAAGAGCCTTCGGCATTCATATCACGACCACACCCATCCAAAAAGCCACCCACCCCCCCCCCAGAACGCACATGCCCCAGCGAGCAGGGAAATGCATGCACCTGCAACGCCATGAGACTTTGCACCTTCCCCAGGAAGACGACCAGGTTAAGCCGCCGGGCCACCCGTCAACTTCTGCGACATTTTTTTTTCTAGATCCCCTAGCTCAAAAGGCAAACACCGGGCCATGACAAAGGAAAGCGGCCCAACAGAAAACACGTCTGATGCACCCCGGGCCAAAACCAGACCAAATGCAGGCCAGCGGAGGGACCCATACGGGCGGCTGAATCTAAACAAAGAACACCCCCACACCGGTGGGCCCGCATCTAAACACTAAGCGAACCACAGAGGACGCCGAACTCGTCATTCCAAACTCTAAACAAACAATGAACCCGGGCCCAAAATCAGACCAAATGCAGGCTGAATGTAGACAAAGAACACCCCCACACCAACGGGCCCGCATCGAAACACTAAGCAAACCGCAGAGGGCGCCGAACCCGCCATTCCGAACTGAAAACAAACAACGAACCTCACCCAAGAACACAGCCACATGAAAGCACACTAAAGAAAGCACCCCCCCCAAACAGCATCAGTCCTCCGCACATGCATCGCGCCTCATATCGAGACGACATCCATCCAAAAATACACAACGCCGCAACACTGCACAAACACCACACACCGCAAATCACGGCGAAATCACTAGAGAGCAGAGAAATCAACGACGGCAACACGACACAAAGACGAGCGAAGAGCAAAGAGGGCACACATGTGTCAGCACAGCAGCACTCCAAAAAGCCGATGTGCCCCAAAAGCAGAGCTCGAAAAACAGTTAAGAAAGCATGTTTCCGGCAACACCAGCCGCGAAGATCAAGATCGTATGGCTAAAGCTCGAAAGACAAGAACCGGCTCGGTGCACAGCGTCACGGCGAGAGCGACTAAGCTTTATTAGTAAGTGTTGATTAGAAAAGCTCAAGATGCTGTGGTAGCATCTGAGAACAGGCACAGACGTCCATCTAAGTTTCAAGTAGGTGAAAGAGTATGGGCAAAGTCGCCTGAGTAAGGACAGGAATTGTGAATATCTAGAACCCTCATGCCACAGTACTTTGGGCCCTGGGGAGTCCTGGACATGGTGGGAGATCAACCATACAGACCTTCGTATGTCATTCGTATCCCTGGTCACCTACGCACACCCCCTGTTTTCCATGCCTCCAAACTTTCGTTGAGACCGACAGGTTTCCTTCAAGGAGATCAATGCTGCCCCCAACCGAGAGATGGTTAACGGGGGGCCAAATATTCGCCGTTTTCGCCGGCAATTTTGGTGCGAAATTCGTCAGAATTTTAAACAACAAACAATATGGGCCCGTAGTGCGAACATCAAAAAAAGAAACAGGCCAAAGAAAACGAAAAAAATAACAAAAAAACACTATAAAACCCTAACACAAAAACACTGTCGGAGTTAAAATGAAGCGTTCAACAAATTCAACGAAATGCCAACTTTTTCATTATTGATCCAAACATGTCAAAACTGGGCACATGACATACCCTAAAGCACATATATATCACACAAAAAGAAAAACAAGAAAAAAAGCAAAAAATCAGCACAATGTGACAGTTTCAGTGCAATTCGGTGCAAAATTCACCGACAATAACACCCCTGGTTAACCATATGTGGCGCACACGCGTGGGGTGTTGTTGGGCGCTGCAAGGAAGCACTGCCATAGCCTGGACCTCCATAGCTGGGCCTGGGAAGACATAGCTGGCAGGGATTGGCAGTGGTGCTCGGGGATGGTGATGAGGCGTGGGAGGAGGGACAAGGAGGGGCAGTAAGAGGTGATGAGGAGAGTGATATAAGAGCACGTACCTGGTCCTGGCAGAGGTCTGCATGTACTTTGGTTGCTGCTACTGACGTGAGCGGGTTGCTTTGTCATTTTGTTAGGCTAGCGCAGTCGCTGTATGATAGTAGTCTCGGCGCTAAGTGCCGATAGTAGGAAGAGCTTTGAGTATATTGTTGGTGGTGGGGAGAGAGGGATCCCACTTACAATCGAGTTCACTGCTTTGGTTCTCCTTCGGGGGGTGATTTCAGTGCATTTCTGCTTTCTTAACAGCTTGCGACTATCTGGCATTCAATGTGATTCTGCAATCTGGATTTTTTGTATTTCTTTTTTAATTGGGCCATTTCTCGATTTATGTGTGTCATCCTTGCGCAGGGGCCATGCCAAATGTCCCGAAGGACAGCAATCTGGATTTCTCTCATTTCGCTATTGCTCATTTCCTTCCAAAAAAAGTGGCAGAAACAATCGCCCTTTTTGAAAACTTGGGAATTTTTCTTAACCAAAAAAAAAAAAAGAAAAAAAAAAGTGAGGGGAAAGTTGGAAACAATAGCATTTTTTGAGAACTTGAATTCTAGGTGGATTTCCTTTCGTTTCTGATTCTTAAATAGACACTCCTGGAAACAATAGCCCTTTTCAAAAACTTGGATTTTTTATATTTTTTTATTTTATTTTATTTTTTAGTGATGTCAGCGGTGCAAACAAAAGCCATTTTTTTTCTTAACTTTGATTTTTTTGTGAAGTCAGTGCAATAGCCCTTTTTTAAGAATCCTTTCATTTTTTCTTATTCCTAAACGCCAGCTGTATAATCTTTCACACTTTTTGCAGTTTCTTTCCTTTTGTTTTTTCCCTTCTTTCCTTTAATTAAATTTTATTTATATATCGTCAAATAGAATATATATATTGACTTTGACTTTTTTTTTTTTTAACTTCCTGGCTAGGCGACCAGCCGGGTCGCCCGGGTCACCCTATTTTCCCGGGCGGCCAGGCCGTGCTGAGGACCAGAGAAGGTCCCAGCAAGAAAAAAAAAAAAAAAGAACATCAAACAAATCCGGAAAAAAATCTATGTTATGCAGAAAAATAAACTGAACAACTTTTGCCTCAGGGTCATACCGAAATTCTTTTTAAATATATATCTCCGACGAAACAGTTTGTCACAGCCCCTCGTTTGTTGTCCTTTTCTCCCTCTCTGCCTACGGTTTACCGGGCAGTTCTATTTGACGATATATATATATATATATCGTCACAAACAGAACTGCCCGGTAAACCGTAGGCAGAGAGAGAGAAGAGGACAACAAACGAGGGGCTGTGGCAAATATAGATATATATATATTTTGACCCCGCCGGGCAAGTGGACCCAGGCCACTCTGGTAGCCTAGCTTTCTGGGCTTTTACCTTGTTCAAGCGCTCCAAACAGTCTGACAGTAATTCTGACAGGTATGCATCTTGTATTCCATCCTCCCTCGCAGCATTGTTAACACCACCACCTTTTTCTTTGTCTTAAGTATTTATATTTACTTTTTTCTCTTTAGCTTTTTAACCTTTTAGGCTTCTACCTTGTTCAAGCGCTCCAAACTGTATGACAGTAATTCCGACAGGTATGCATCTTGTACTCCATCCTCACTCAAATCGTTAATGCCACCATCACCATCCGCAAGGGGAGGATCACCATGGAAGTCCTCTAAGCCGTCGAATCGATAACCACCAAGATCAACCGCAAGGGCTGTCGCGACCGAGGCCATGACGAAGTGCCCACTTCAGATCTCGACCTGTCAACCAAAAAGAAAAGAGGACACGCAATGAGAAACCTGCCAACGAAGCAGAAAAAGCATATCAGTGCAAACTTTTTTCCTTTTTAAGAAAAAAAAATACTTGTTTAAGGGCAAAAAAAAACGAAGGAAAACACGAGAAGATTAGGGGCAACTCCAAGGGCTGTCATGACCAAGGCCATGGCGAATCACCCACCTCAGATCCCGACCTGTCAATCAAAAACAAAAAGGGACGGCCGATCAGAAACCTGCCAACGGAGCAGGAGCCCATCAATCGAAAACTTTTTTCCTCATTTCAACGGGAAAAAAAAACATTTTTAACCTAGGCTACAAGAGTGGCCCGGGACCACTTGCCGGGCCGGGCCAAAACAAAATAAAAATAAAGAATATATATATCGTCACAAACAGAACTGCCCTGTAAACCGTAGGCAGAGAGAGAGAAGAGGACAACAAACGAGGGGCTGTGACAAACTGTTTCGTCGGAGTTTCACCGACTCATCAGGAGGCTGAACCCTCAACAGTCTGCAGAATCCCCTCACTGATTACA